GGGTCGTCTGCCTTGAATTCCGACCCGAGGTGCTGTCGGGGATGTGGGGAAGGGTGCAACTCTCCCGTCTCCTTGCTTTCGACGGTCGACAATGTGTTGGGAAGAAGAGACACGCTCACACGGGGCCCCACAACTTGGCAGCGGGCACCACGGAGGGAGCGATGGGACCGAGAAAACCGGGGCAACCGAGAACACAAGAACGGCGTCGCGCTTTTGGGGCTCCGCACCACTTCGGCATCGTCGGAGAGGAGCCTATCCGGTGGAGCGCATTTGTGTTGCACCCTCTCGCCTTGGTCTAGGCGCCCGACGTGCCGCGTGCCTTGTCGCAGAGCACAGCGCAACCGCTGAAGACTCGACCGAACCCTTGGCTTGTCTCTCCGCTCGGTTCGCGTCAACCTTGGCTCGGCACCTGTCAACTCGAACCGAGCTCGCCACCCGACCCCACCTTCTCCCACATGCCACGAGCTCTAACACAATTTGGCTTTCTCACAACTTGCTGTGAGGCGTCTCGTGTCATCGGTGAAGAACCTCCTATGTCGATTCTATTTGGTGTTGCACCGTTTCTCAGCCTTCGTATACACACCGAGAGGATCGCAACCAAAGTCGTCCTTTACAAGTGTTTGAGCTATGCTACATTCGGTTTTCAGAACGCTGCCTCTTCCAGTCAGGCCGTGGCTTCCTCGATGCTCTTCCTCTTCTCGGGCTCGCTTTCGACGCTCGCCTCCTCGGCCTTGTCCACCTTGCGCTTCTGCTTGATGAACACGCAAGCGGCAAGCATGATGCCACAGATCGCCGTGTAGAAGATCCACATGTTGCGAAGTCCGGTCATGTACTGCTTCTTGGAGACAATCTTGACCGTCTCGTGTCCTGCGCCCGTCTCTTGGGTCGAGTGAAGCGAGGTGATACTGCTGCCTGCTGGCAGAGAGTGTTGGATCAGCACCGATCCGATGACGACCGAGATCGAGGTGCACAGGTTGCGCAGGAAGTTGTACGCCGACATGGCAGCCGCCATGTCCGCCTGGTGCAGGAAGTTCTGTAGCGCGATCAAGGGTGTCTGGAAGAGCAGGCCCGCGCCGATGCCGGTGATGACCTGGAACGTGATGATCTTGGACCATTCTCGCTCGGTCTTGAAGCTGATGAAGAGTCCGCTGCCCAGTGTCATGAGTGTGGCACCGAGATAGCACAAAAAGACGTAGTTGCCCGTCTTGCGGATGAAGATCGATCCGACGACGGGCATGCACGACAGAGGCACGATGAGGGCGAAGAGCGTGACTCCCGAGATCAAGGGGGAGAGGCCAAGGATCACCTGCGAGTAGAGCGGCAGGAAAAAGTCGAAAGAGATGAAGCAAAGCGAATGCAGGCACGCCAATACGAAGGCAGCCATGTTGGTTGCTTTCGAGAAGATGCGTCCGGGGATGACAGGCTTGGCGGCAAATCGAGCCTCCCACACCATAAAGACAACGAGGAGAGCGAGTCCGATGGTCATCATGCAGACGACGATGGGTGCGGACCATGGCTTGGCGTTAGTAGCGCCAACCTCGAGACCGTAGAGGAACAGGATGGATCCGGCGATGATCAGAACAAGGCCAGTCCAATCAAGGGTGCGCAGGCCCTGCATAACAGGTTCGCGCTCGACCTCGACTTTGAGCACGAAGAAGAGCACGACGATGGCCAGGCCGTCAAAGGGCAAGTTGATGTAGACTGTTCCCGATCACACGAAACGTTTCACTTCGTCAGCTGCCCGTACTTCTGCGGCGTTAAAGTCTGCTGCGACTTTGTACTTACAGCACCATCTCCATCCAATGGTTTGGACAAAGACACCTCCAAGCACAGGACCTACGGCGCTTGCGATTCCCCAGACGATGCCTGTAAGTCCATAGTACTTTGCTCGATCCTTCAACGCGAAGAGATCTCCTATGATGATGGTCACCATTACCAAGGAGCCTCCGGAGCCAAGACCTTGTACGACTCTCCCTCCGATCAGCATGGTGCCATCGCGTGCGAGCGCACAAATTAGACTTCCGGCCATGAAGGCCACGGCGGAAGCGATCACGATCCCCCGTCGACCAAAGATGTCGGAAGCCTTTGCCCAGACGGGCGTGGAGGTGGTGTTGGCGAGGGTGAATGCGCTGCTGATCCACGCGTATTGCTGAGATGTCATGCCAAGCTCCCGTGCGATGGTGGGAAGCGCGGTTGAAATGATGGTCACGTCTAGCGCTCCGAGGAACAGTGTCAAACAGAGCGACACCATGATCACTCTGCGTTGCAATGTCGACATGACAGGCGGCACGTAGTCGCTCATCCTGGTCTCGACTGGCGCCAGAGGGTTATCGCTAAGCTCCTCCGTTGCTGCCTTCTCGATCGGCGTTTTTGCTGACATCGTTGACTTGAGTCGCGCGCGAAGGTTCTTGGACGTTACCCGCTTTGTGCTAGCGATTTCTGCCGTCGGAAGGGATACGACGGACGACAACGACGAAGGGAAGAAGGAGAACTGACTTTCTACGATGCTCGCGTATAGATATCAACGTTTCTCAGGGTCTTCGAGAACAGCTGAGCAGATGTTGGAGCTCGTGAAGCTATCGGTGACACATGCCGCGTGTCCGCGGACGAAAGCTGCTTTGAGCCACAGGTGCTAGAAGGAGAGCGGGTACAGGTCAGAATCTGTAATCTTCAACCCCGCGGAGGCAATTTGCGGCCTTTGGGAGCAGCATACTGCGCCAGCGGAACGGATCAACTGAGCGAGCTCGGTGGTTGCGAGACGAGGTTCGCCAAGAACGAAACGTCGGGATGTTTGCGTCTGCCGAACCGATGTGAAGCCCGCTCTGCGCCAAGCTCTCTGTTGTTGGGCGCGGGAAAGATTCGGCCAGGTGGGGGCCGATCTGCGAGTTCGGTACGCGACAGATGCAGGGACCTGGAGTTCGGTTCAGGTGGTCTTGCGGGGAACGCAACTGGCACGCGGGGTGGAGCCTGGTGGAGCAAGGACACTCACGCTACTTTGAGCGCAAGCCTTGGCCATCCCCGCATCGACCCCGGAGATGTGTCTGACGGCTCTCTGTGAATGCGTTTCCGATACCCCGCGGCATATCCGTGTGAAGCTTCGTGACCAATCACTCCTCGGGTTGGGTCATCTTTAAAGTTGTTCGCAGAGAGCATGGCGGTGCGCGAGTGATTGCTAAGGGTCCTTCCGCGGCTATCTGTGAGCGTGTCTCGTTTCGCGCTCTGACAGAGACATTCGAGCCCGTGTCGCGAGCTTCACGGTCAATGCTTTGTCTTGATCTCAAGTTCACGAGGAACTGCGAGATAGGCCTTGTGGATCGAGAGACTGTCTGCGGTGCACTGACTTGCCGCCTGTGTGTCTGACGACTTGTCCATCTTGTAGGAAGCCTCACTCTCTTGGACCTCGCCGCCAATGACCGGTCACACAAGGTCGGTGGCCCCATCCACACTTCGGCCTGGCTCACGACGTGCGATCTCACGAGCGTGCCGAGCGTGGTGACTTCCTTTGCTGTCACTCAGCTGTAAAATAGCGATTGCGGTCACGGTCATGACGTCGAGCGAAATGCAAGCTCTTGATTCTCATTTACGACATCACCAATACGTCTTTCAAGTCACTCTGGTGCGGATCAATAAGTCTTATGAGATCATTTCAATTGCGCGGAAGGGAGGAACAATGCCAGCTGGGGATAGAATGAAGAGGTCGTGGAACTGAAGGCCAAGTGTCTAGTAGCTCTTGACGCCAGCAAGTCGGAGGACCTGCTCCGTCAGCTCGGGCTTCTCGAACGGCTCGCTGCGGTACTTGGGGCAGATCTTGCCGTTACGCATGGGTTTGTCCTCGGTCGGGCGGATGTTGCAGTGAGGCCAGTGGGTGGTGCCAATCCAGTTCTCGAAGCACTTCTTCTTGGCCTCGAGAGCCTCGTCGTTGGCGAAAGCCCTGGGTGTCATGCAGATGTACTGGACGTGGCGGATCTGGTTGCCCTCGGGGAGGCGCGCATAGTGCATGGTGCGCGAGTCCCAAAGGACAAAGTCACCGGGCTCCATGTTGCACTTGATCATCTCGCAGCCGCGCTCCTCGAACCACTTGATGTCCTTCTCGCTGAAAAGGAAGAGGTCCATGTACTTGAGCTCGGGAGGGGGGGCGTCTTCGTGGTCGGCCGAGTCACGCTTGTGGGCAAAGAACTCGTTGAAGAGCTTGGCGGAGCCGCGCATGAGCATGAGGCCGCCGTCGTTGGGACCGTTGGGGGCATAGTTGAGCAGACCCTGCACAGCCTGCATACCCTTGCGCTCAGGGTTCTGGTCGCAGTGGGGCCAGGGGCTCCAGTTGAGGTCCTTGCGGTTGGGCATCGAGATGTTCATGCCGTCAAATGAGCAGATGAGCTCCTTGGTGCCCCAGAGCTTTTCGAATATCTCGACCACCTTGGGCTCGGTGCGCGCCTCCCAGGCCATCTTCTCGTGCGTCGAGGCGTAGGCAAAGTACATGCCACCCTTGAAGCTGATGGGCAGGTGGTCGGCGGTCCAGGTGGAAGGGTCATTCTCGTCAAAGCCAAGCTCGAAGTTCTTGAGCCACTGGATCTGCTTGTCGGCGTAGTACTTGGCACGCTCGGGCGAGATGACGTTCTTGATGATCACGCAACCGTTCTTGTGGAACTCGTCGCGCCAGTCGCCGTACACGGTGTTCTCGTCGAAGCTGATCAGGTCCTTGGTCTCGAAGCGCGCACCGAAAGTGCGATCCTTGTTGCCCTTGGGCGCTTCGAACCCGGAGGTAGTGGTAGTGGTTGTGGTAGTGGTGGTCGACATGCTGGCTTCGTGCGTCGTGTTGAGTGTGCTTCGTGCGACTTGAAAGTATGGGACTGGAGAGTTGGTCTTCTGGCCACTCCGACGATCTATATACCTCACATCTGCCTGCTGAGGATCCACTTGACACTTTCGCTCTCTAGCCCGCACAGTTGGTCTCGGCGTTCAGACTTCCGGCGGCGGACAGCGGACAGGGCACGGTTGTGCGCATGGACGCCAGGGACTCCTCAGACCTCGGTTCGGGCCACACTAAAGGCAGTCATCACAACCGTCCCCAGTGAGCTGTATAACTCGCCGAGCTCGGATCGCGAGGCCCAGCTGGAAGTCTCGGCTGTACACTGTCAGAGGCAGCTGCCTAAATGCCATGCAAAGTAACACTTCCCTCGGTTCGGGTCAAATTCCGCTCGGTTCAAATGGTAGCAGCTTGCCAGGGTCCTGAAGCGTCCAGCGTGGACCACCCCGCCACCTCAGCTTGGGGTTGGGCATGGACCCTCTTTTGATTCTTCTACGCCGCTCTCACTCGGATTCAGCATTGCCGGTATCCTCCCGGGCAGTTGGAAGCTGACGCATAGCTTCCGCACTCGCCAGTGGTACCCTTTCTCCGTCAGGCAAGCTACGTCGGATCGAGTGGGGTGGCAGACCCTGAGCGACCCCGGTTTGCTCGAACCGAGCTTCCTACCCGCCCTCGGACATCGCACATACTTCGGTTCGTGCGTCGCGTGTGCCCCACACCCCACTGTGTCGCATCTTCGTGTCTTGTTCGGCTATGCGAACCCTTTGGCTGCGACGGTGTCAAGGTAGATTTGCATTTAATGATGAAGAGCTGAACAGTCTAGTGTCCACCTCGATCAACAAGTTTGCTTCCCATCCTCTGATCGTCATCATCAGCATCTTCTGATTGCATCCACACTCAACAGCAAGGAGCCGACGAGCGTCTAGTAAAGCAAGACGAAATGCCTGTCGCAACACAGGTGGCCTTCAAGCCATTGAACCCGCCCAAGGTGGGTGACAATGGATACGTCGAGCCCAAGCCTGGCCACTCGGAAGTGCTCAAGAAGGGCTCGGCGCCATTCGGATGCCGTACGCTCGACTCGGATGTGCGCATCGACCACGATGTCGAAATTGTAGTGCGCGATGGCTGCCGCCTGTACGCCGACATCTACCGCCCGGCGACGGACGAGAAGAACGTGCCGATCATCGTCTCTTGGTCGCCTTACGGCAAAAAGTACTCGGCGATCGATATGATCTTCAACGTGTGCCTATGGCGCTGCTGCATCCGTGACGAAGATGTCAGCGGACTGGAGAAGTTCGAGGGCCTCGATCCGGCTTGGTGGGTGGCTCGCGGCTATGCGATTGCCAGCGTCGACGCGCGCGGGGCCGGCAATAGCGACGGTGACACGCTCGTGCTCGGCTCGCAGGAGGCCGAGGACATCCACGACGTGATCGAGAAGCTCGCAAAGCTCCCATGGTGCAACGGCAACGTGGGCATGGCCGGAAACTCGTACCTCGCCATCTCGCAGTGGCACGCAGCCGCACAGAACCCGCCGTCGCTCAAGGCGATCGCGCCATGGGAGGGGTCCGGCGATATCTTCCGCGAGCAGTTCTGCCGCGGCGGCTGGTTCAACATGAGCAACTTTGACCTGATCACCACGCTCGTCATCAAGGGTCACCACGGCGTCGAAGACTTTGCCGAGATGCATCGTCGCTCGCCGCTCGCCAATGCCTTCTGGAATGACAAGCGCGTGGATATGACCAAGATCAACATTCCCTGCTTCATCACGGGCTCCGACTTTAGCCAGATCCACACCATGGGCGCCGTGCGCGGCTGGATGCAGGTCAACACGGATAAAAAGTGGATCAAGTGGAGCGGATACCAGGAGTGGTTCGAGCTGTATTCGTGTCCCGAGTCCAATGTCGAGCTCAAGGCAAGTTGTTGCGCCCATGAACTGCACCGAGACGCTTTGCTGTGAACATCGAGAGTTGGTGCTGACACGAATCACCTTTTTGCTCGGCTTTGCAGCTCTTCTTTGACAAGTATCTCAAGAACATCGACAACGACTGGGAAAAGACGCCCAAGGTGCGCTGGGCGACGCTGCCCTTCGGTGATCGTGATGTCAAGCACGACATTGTGCTTGAGGATTTCCCTGTTCCCAACACCGACTACCGCACCTTCTACCTCGGTCCAAACGAGTCTCTGTCCGAGACGGCGCCCAAGGAAGCGGGCACGTCTTCTCACAACTCGGAAGAGCGATTCTCGATCTCCAAGTTCCGACACACGTTCAAGGAAGCGACGCGGCTGATCGGGCTGCCCAAGGCAGAGCTGTACATGAGCTGCGATGCGCTGGACGATCTTGTGGTGTTTGTGCAGCTGCGCAAGCTCGACGTGAACGGCAAGGAGCTGAGCCAGCTGCAGTTCCCGCTGTCGCGCGCGCCCGTCAAGTCGATCGACGACATGCAGCCCAAGGAAAAGCAGAGCCTCAGCGTGCACAATGGCTCCATCGGCATCCTGCGCGCCTCGCAGCGCAAGATCGATGCCGCGCGCTCGCTCCATCCGCAGTTCCCCTTCCACCCGCACGACGAAGTGTGGAAGGTGCCGCGCGGCGAGATTGTCAAGCTCGACATTGGCATCTGGGCCATGGGCGTCGACTACGACGCGGGCGAGTCCATCCAGGTCGATGTTCTCGGACAGTGGCCTGGCTTCGACGAGGTTGCCGCCTTTTCCAAGCCTCGTCCCGAGTCCGAGAGGAACAAGGGCACGCACGTCATCCACTTTGGCCCCGACCACCCCAGTCATGTGATCCTCCCCTTTGTGCCGCTGTAGGCCGGGATCCAGACTCCATCTAAACCCAGCATGACCTCCTCACTTTCATCCACGGCCCTCGAATGACACGAATTCCGATAGCATTTGAGCGCCTGCCGGGCGTGAAGCCCAGAGCGTCTGTTAAAGGTGATGACTCTGCTTTGCAGCTTTCATAAGTATGGGCGAGGCGAAGGATGAGTGAGTTGAGGGCGAAGGAAAGTTCCGCATGGATGTGCGGGAAGGCGTTGCCGCTATTGATGAGGAGGACCTGTCCTACGGACTTTGCGGAATCTTTGAATCTGAATTTGAAATGCATCGATCGGCCCGATAAGCTACCCCCGCTTCAAGCCGAGAAGTTCGGCAATGGCGGCGGTTTTGTGTCCGATTTCCTGTGCCTTATTTTTGGCCATTGCATATTGGAACGGCAGGATGATGTTGTCTCCGCGTGTTGGCGAGTCTGACATGAGCGCTCGATGACGTCCCTTTCAATCAAGACGCCGAGCACGAGGCTACCCCGCGTGGCACGATGATGATCACCGGCAACCTTACGGCTCGACCAGCCACCTTCCGCCCCTCGCTCCGGGCTAGCGCACCGACTTCACCGCCCCGTGCCGATGCTAATGCCCAATCGCCGGCCCGACCGCTCCACATGGGGCAGCCGACTCCACATCCGCTGGCCGCATCTCAGATCAGCTGCGGAGTATATATGGGGCCAGGCTCGATTCGTTCTTCTTCGTTCTGCAACACCACATAATAGACAAAGTTCATCACAATGTCAACTCACGCATCACAGAACGCAAGCGGAAACGCCGCTTTGACGCTCGGAGAATCCGCCCGCCCAGTCAAACCGAGGGTGGTGGTAACCGGCGGATCTGGAAAGCTCGGACGAGCCACTGTTGCTCACCTCGCTGAGCATGGATGGGTAAGCTACGATCACCTCTCTATCATACTGTAAGACTGAGACTGACAACTTTTCTGTCTATCCAACAGGAAGTGATCAACTTCGATCGCGTCCGACCCAAGACCGCTTCCGAGGACGGCAAGAGCGGTCTGGGAGGAGCGTATCGCCTCGTCGAGATCGACCTGACGGACATGGGTCAGGTTCTCGAGGCGCTTTGCGAGATCGACATGGCCTACAAGGGCGTGCAGGCGGTGGTTCATCTCGCCGCCATGCCCTCGCCCGGTCAGAGCTCGTCGAGCAAGCAGTTCAACACCAATGTTTCCTCGACCTACAATGTGCTCGAAGCTTGCCGCAAGCTGGGTATCAGCAACATTGTCATGGCCAGCAGCGAGACGCTCATCGGCATCCCACTCGACATCGCTCCTGCCAAGCTGCCCATCACCGAGGAGAGCCCCCTGCTCCCCGAGAGCGCCTACTCTCTCTCGAAGCTCGTAGGCGAGACGCTGGCAGAGCAGTACGTTCGCTGGTCGACTCAGTCGCATCGCAACCCCGGCGCCGCCGCCAAGATCATCAGCATGCGCTTCAGCAACGTCATGCTCGAGGAAGAGTACGCTACCTTTGCCGACTGGCAGGATGACCCCAAGAAGCGCTACTGGAACTGCTGGGGCTACATCGATGCTCGCGACGGCGCAGAGGCAATTCGCCTCGCCCTCGACAAGGACATCCAGGGTCATCACGCATTTATCATCGCGAACAATAGAACCGTGATGAAGACTCCGTCAGCAGATCTCGTCAAGCAGGTTTTCCCTGGAGTTCCTTACACTCCGCTCAACGACCACCCGAACGTGACCCTACTATCCAATGAGAAGGCCAAGAAGATGCTCGGATGGGACCCAAAGCACGATTGGAAGCCTTGAGAGAGTGTAGAGCAACACCCCCTGCAACTGCAATCAAGAATGTCGCCCAATGTCATTTGTGTCTGCGTGCGGTTGGGCTGGACTGGTTCTTGTGAGATGCTGTATGAGCCTGTTGTACGCCGGAAAGAGTGCGGAAGAACTCAGCTTCTGCCGAGTCGTTCTGGATGCATACCCGCTCCACAAAACCAGCACGGGCGGGGATGGCCGGTGCGGCAATCTTCCGCGGCTGTGCGACACCAGAAGAGATCACGAGCCAATCTGAAGCGCGAAGGCCATCTAAGCCGATCGGCTCAGGACGATCTGACAGGAGATGGCATTGTCATGTGCCTCCCGGACTTTGAAGCGGTCTGGCAACCTTCTTGCTGCGGGCGGTTAAGGTTGCGGCGGTGGCCAGTCCGAGTTGTGCACAAGGCAGAAGGCAGCAGGCAAGTGTGCCCAGCTCGACGGCCATGGTGAGCTTCGGAGGCAGTGATTCCGCTCGCAATCTAAGCGAAGGCGAGCTAGCGTGGAGGCCAACGGCGCTAAAAGGCTTGGCTTTCTGCACGACGACAACGCCAAGACTTTTTTCATTATTCGCCAGCTCGCCACTGCAGCGCTCCAATAGCGCCATGCAGGCGCGGTTGCAATGTCGATGCATGAAAGCATGAACCGTGTCCGTCCGCCTGGTTCTCTCATGCTCTGCCTGCCAGATACGTGCGAGCTGGGACTCCGGGGTCTGCGTCCCGACGGCACAGACGTCCGGGTCTAGTTGCGGCGTACAGTATCAATCACCCCGGCCACCAAAGACGCCCAGCGGAGCGGCACGGCGACCTGCCTATTTTGGTGACCTATCCCCCCGGATCCTCGGAGTGCATCCAACCGGCGCCCTTCGCCCCCCACGCTAACCCAGAATGCTCTTGAGCTTGATCTTCGCTTGACTGCAATAGCTTGCATGATGCGGCAGAAGCTCGAGAGGGAAGGACCCTTTGGCGCTGTACCGCCAAGTTCTCCTGCGCCCTCGCACGTCAAATTCGCTAGTGGTCTGCAGGCCGATGAACCTAACGAGCCATCCTTCAATCTATCGCTCTTCTGATTCGTGCTGGTCCCAGTTATCAACGCTGAGGCATCACCGTCGGCATCACCCGTCGAAGGAAGCCGTGTCGTGATGCGAGATGAGCGGAAGTGCATCTTCCGTAGGCCAATCGTTGACTCGTTCCCAACCGTTGCATCCTTGCCCAACGTTTTCAGTTCAGCCCACAGTGAATCGGGGGCGATCTGCCTGCAGGTCACAGACGCCGAGTCGCGCGACATCAGAGACCTGTCTTGGGCGTCATGCTGGGATCGTCAGTGCGTATTCAAAACCAATCAGGCACGCGTGCAGCGACACGCTCAAATGAATGGTAACAGTGTCCTCTGAGACATGTCTAGAAGCGCCACGACTGAGACTAATGCTGGTGTATCGTGCCGGGCAGGCCCCTTGGGAAGATCGACTTTGAGCCGGTCGGCAGAGTGAGCCGTGGCATAGGCGAGGCCACGATGGCTGAGGAAGTTGAGGCAGCCGAGCCTTGCCGATGTCGCCCAAAGGGTCCTACCGCTTGATGCGGCTCGAGGCGATTTCTTCTTGCCTTGCCAGACTCCGAGGCGCCACAGCCTGCGCTATGCACCTCGCTCGCTCGCTCGTTCGCCACTTTGGGTGTTCGCAGACCGATGTGGATATGCAGAGCGTCGCCACGGACGAGCGCTTTCCGATGCCAACGCTTCGGCTGGCTCCTCCACGCTACCTGACACCGCCTTGGCGTCCTACGACTCCGATAAGCAGAACGGCTTTGCACTCATGCACAGATGTCGTGACCTTGATCGCTCCAATCACCATTAGCCGATGACATCCGCAGATACCAGTCCTTCCTGCCCTCGTCGCCAATTTTGACATTGGGTGCAGCGGGGTGCATGGGTTCAACCGAGCTCGTGCTGACCACGGAACAGGCTCGTCCGGTTGACTCACGCCCGACGATGAGGAGATAAGTGCGAGCAATGACGATCCGGCGAAGCGCGCATGAGCGGAGACACTCGTTGGACGCCACAGAGTGAAGCAGAGTGGGGTCGCGGCAGCGGTTCCAAACGCGCGTGTCGAACGACATCTCTTGTGTCCACACTCCTAGCTGGGCGCTGAGCTGGACGTGTCGTATCGCATGGAGCTAGAGTCGTTAGACATCTTGGTCGATGGTGACATTTGCATATAAGGTGGACGACCGGCCACCGTCTCACCATCTCGTCTCCCCATCCCACACAGCTCCACTTCCCTACTCCAGCCTCCCCACCCCTCCTAGACAGCTTCCTAGCCTCGTACAAGATGCAGTTCAAGAGCCTCGCCGTTATCCTTGGCGCCGCCCTCATGGTGGCGTCGCCCGTCTTTGCCGCTCCTGCCACGCGCACCTGTGGTAGCACCGAGGTGGCCCCCGCCGACGTCGAGCAGGCTCTCTCTGCGCGCGTTGCCGCCGCCCGCTCGGCTCGTACCTCCGGGAGCTCTAGCGACCTCGCCTTCACCTCCGCAAGCATCCCCGTCTACTACCACGTGATCACCGACGGCACCAACGGCCGCCTCACCTCGAGCCAGATCAACAGCCAGATCTCGGTGCTCAACCAGGGCTACTCGGGCACCGGCGTTTCGTTCTACCTCGCCGGTACCGAGACCACGGTCAACTCGAACTGGTTCAACAACGTTAACCAGGGCACCTCTGCCGAGGCTGCCATGAAGAACGCCCTCCGCAAGGGCGGTGCCAACGCGCTCAACGTCTACACCGTCAACTTTACCGGCGGTCTTCTCGGTTACGCCACCTTCCCCTGGAGCTACGCTTCGGCTCCCAAGAACGACGGTGTCGTCCTCCAGTGGACTTCCTACCCCGGAGGGCCGATCAGCAACTACAACCAGGGCAAGACTCTCGTCCACGGTAAGCTTTTTTTCCATCAAACATTGTGGATTCGCTTGACCGTATACTTACAATCGAACTTGATATTTTTTGATGCCAATAGAGGTCGGACACTGGGTTGGTCTCTACCACACCTTCCAGGGCGGCTGCTCCAGCCCCGGCGACTACGTCGATGACACTCCCGCTCAGGGCCAGCCCACTCAGGGTTGCCCTACTACCGCCCCCGACACATGCTCGGGCGGCGGTGCTGACGACATCAAGAACTACATGAACTACAGCTACGACGTCTGCCTCACCCGCTTCACCGCTGGTCAAGTGGCGCGCCTCCAGTCGGCTCTCGATGCTTACCGTTAAAGCAACGGAAACGTCTCCAAAAGAACTCCTTCCGCAGGCCTCATTGCCGGTCTTGCATGACTCCTTTCGCCTTCGCACCGCATCTTTTCTAGCCGCATTTTGGAATCAACAGCTTTTACATTTGAAGCTTTCGATTGCCAGTCTGTACGGGCTTCTCTTTCTGTCAGCAACGCACGACTTTTACAGCCTCAGTGTACGAAGTGATCAGCGGATTTGCATTGGGATGCGGACACCTAGTACGAGCTCCTCGTCCGGTCCGTTTCGACGCGCTGCGGGCGTACAGCTGCAGCGCTGTCAATTTCCGCCGCGGCAATTTTTCGCACACTCGAGAAGTGCCTGCCGGGCAAATGCCGCGGAACTGCCTGACGCCACTTCCCGCACTTCCCGCACTTCACGCACTTTCCGCATTTTCCGCACTCCCGCAGCTCCTCACGCGTGGAAGCTCGCGAACAGCTCCCACACCTCGCAAGCGTCACTCACACGGTCGCTTCCGCTGCAAATACTCTCCGCGTTGAGGCGGGTCTCTCGGCCACAGGTGACTCTCTCCGTCTAAACAGGGTTTGGAAAACTGTGAGACAGCAACGGCTGCCGGAAGAGTGCACCGACGAAATTTGTTCTCGTATTCCCGCAGTCCGCACGCTGCAGCCCCCAAACGCGCGCAACGTCGCCGTCAGCTCCTCGTGACACAAAGCTCGTCCGCTCTCTCGATGCCACACCGGGATTCGACCTATGCACGCGCTCTCTCAATAGAGTTTGCAAAACACACACACTGATGGATCGAAACGACCGCGCCCAGAAACGGACCGCGTACTATTGAAATGCTGAAGTTGAGCCACGACGATGCTTGGAAGAAGAGGGAATGCGAGGGATCAGAATGCTAACGAGTCTATATGCTGAGAGAGGGGATAAAAATGTGCTATAAAGAAGACCGAGTGTCCACGACAAAAGCAAAGAAGAAAGGAGAGGAAGCTAGAAGCTAAAGAGACCGCCGCCGTTGCGCATTTTTCGGCCGCCGAGCAGGTACGACAGCACGGTACTGGCGAATAGACCGACGGTCAAACCAAGCGCCACCTCGACGAGCGACTGGGCGACGGTGAAACCAGACGCAAAGGCCGACGTTGAGTCCTGGTTGCTCGCAAAATTGAGCAGGCCGCCGCCGTTCGACAGACCACTTGGCAGCTGGAACAGGATACCGGGGACCGAGACCACAAAGCTGCGCCCGTCAAAGATGCGCCCGTAAACGTTGGCCATGGTGCCTACGGCCAGCGATCCCAGCGCGGCGGTGACGTCCTGTCGTCGCGACAGCGCCGTCGCCTTGGCCGCAAAGTGGTTGCAAGCCCACCCACCGCACGCGATGAGCACCATGACGGGAAACTCCTTGCGCGTAATCTTGGCCTGGTTGCGCAGCGACAAGCAAATCGAATACGCAGGCGCCGTCAAGATCGCCCAGATCTCGGCCACATCCGACCTCCACCACTGATCCGTATGCCGCAGGCTGCAATTGTTGAATCCCTCGGTCGAGGTGTTGCCCGAAAACAGCTGCCAGAACGAGACCCCAATCGAGATGCCAAACCCGAGAAAGAGCGAGTAGATGATGGCATATACTAACCGAACCGATCCTGCGATCAAGTTCTTGGACTGCAGCTCGAGCGAGCCGCTCAGCACGATAAAGCCGGGCAGGATGAGCACGATGGAGCCGGACACGACGGCGGCATAGCAAAAGTAGCCCGAGCTCTGCACCGCGGCGGCGACAAACGAGTTGAGCGTGGCAAAGACGATCTCAAACACGTTGCTGTACAGCTCGGTGGTGATGATCGACTGGCAATACACCAAAAACGCACCCAGGGGGAACGCCATGAGCGCGTCGATAAAGCTGCCGTTGAACCCCTGCGGACCGACGCAGATAAACGCGGATGCAAACCCGCCGATCAACACCATGGGCCATCGACCGATGATGGGTTTGCGACGCATGAGCTCGTCGAGCTGGTTGGAAGCCTCCTCGACGCCGATCTTGTCGTGGATGACGTTCCAGTAGATGGTGTGCATGTCGGTGAGCTTGGTGAGGTCGAGCCCGGAGCCTTGCTTGATGAACTTGGTCTCGGAGGTGTGTGTGGTGTCGTCGCCAAACGCGATGAGCATGAGGTTGGGCAGGTAGATGCAGCGGCAGTTGATGTCGAGCACGCGACCCGTCTGCTGGATCTGCGTCTCGATGCGATGCGTGGGCGCGCCAAACATCATGAGCGCGCGCGCGAGCTTCATGATAAACTGCTGGCGCTGCAGGATTGCGGCGACGTGCATCGTGATAAAGATCTCCTCTTTGCGCTTCTTGTCCTTGGCGCGCTTCTTGAGCTTGCGCTGCCACTCTTGCTTGTGGTAGTCCGAGTGCATCTTTTCCGCCTCGGGACCAAAGTAGTCGGGGCCCAAGCCGGCGTTGACGTCGGGCGTGTTGAGGTTCGAGTGCGTCCATGCGCGCGACATGGCGCCCGGGATGAGGTGGCGCTTGCGAATGCCACCGCTTGCAACGGCCCCATGGCCGTCGACCGAGCTGCCGCCGGTGTGGGTGCGCAAGGGCAGGTGCATGATCGAGCTGGGACGCTTCTTGTGCGGAGTGGCGTGGCCAGAGGCGGAGGGAGAGTTGGCCTGAGTCGAGCTGTCGCGACGTTCGGGGTCAGGACTGGTGGGCAGCGAGTGGCTGCGCGAAGCGAGCGGAGAACCGACGTTGCTGCGACGGTACGGCGTAGGAGCGGCGTCGGCGACGATCTGCGCGGTGCGCTTGAGCGTCTTTGCGTTCATCTCGGGCAAGAGGTAGCGGTCGAGCGACCAGCCGGGACGCTTTGGGTTGGGGCCCAGCTGCGCGTGCTGCGGCGAGACGGCGCCGACGAGGTTGCCCGTGGTGGCTACGAGCGCACCAAACACGCCTGCGCCGCTCCTTGCCGCCTTGGGTCTTTCGTCGAGCGCACTCTCGATGCCCGTCTCGTTTGCGACGCCGCGCATGACCTTGGACGAGGTGGAGACGGCGGCGGTGCCGACTTTGGCGAAGGTCTGCGTGAGGTTGGGGCTGGG